GTTTTTTTCGCGCTAAAAACGCCTTACTATATTATGTCGTTTTTTTTGTCTAAAAACGCCTTACTATACTATGTCGTTTTTTTCGCGCGCAAAACGCCTTACAATACTATGTCGTTTTTTTCGCGCTAAAAACGCCTTACTATACTATGTCATTTTTTTCGCTTGTTTTCGCGCTAAAAACGCCTTACTATACTATGTCGTTTTTTTCGCGCTAAAAACGCCTTACAATACTATGTCGTTTTTCATCCAACATTCACAGGAAGGCGAAGATTTTGGTTAACAGTGTGAAACAGGGGTAACAGTGTGTCCTCCGTTAACGGTGATTGTCATGCGAAAACATTAAGGGTTTGTTTTTGTCACACTGTGGAAGCGCACGCACGCACGCACGCACACACACACAGGAAGGGCAGAGCTGGAGTCAAACCCTGCACCTCTGCACTGGAAGGGTGACGCGCTCGCCAGTCGACCACCAGGGCCGCCCACCTGTGACTGATTTTTCTGCAGTTTTCCTCGAAAGCACTTTCCAGTGACTGTCATGTGAAACTTTTGATGGGAGGAAATCCACGCAAGTAAGGCGGAGCTGGAATCGAATCCTGCACCTCTGCACTGGAAAGGCGACACGCTCGCCAGTCGACCACCAGGCCTCCATGGGGTTTCTCCTGGTACTGTGGTTTCCTTCCAACTGTTGCAACTCATCAGCGGCGGAAGGAGTTTCCACTGCATGATTTCCTTGATTAGATTCCCCCAGGGTGGCCCACAGAGGGAAGCCACAAACTGTGGCTTTAGCTGCTCATCAAACAACAGGAGCGCTGTCCTATTTTTACAGCAATGAAGCACTCCGTCTCACGCGTCTCGACTGCGCAAGCATGACAAGGTTCACTTGCTCCTAATTACCTCTCCTTTTACACAGTGTGTTCACATCTCAGCGGGAGCTTTCGTTGCAGTCGGCACATTATAAAACACGTTATGCAACTCAATCGGTTGCACTTTAAGTGGTGCGACTTTGTTTTTCTAAACAGCTCGTCCCACATTACAAAACCAAAGTTTGACATGACTCCCTTTCATCTGTATCTGGGATGTCATTTTGTCTCAAGACCAAGGATCACTTTTTGTACATCTTTCTTTTTTTTTTTTTTTGTCTTGTTGCTATACGGCTGTCATTTTTCCATCATTTGCCCCTGTAGAATCTGGTGATAAACTTGAAATCAATCAATCAATTAGTCAAATAAATCCCAAGCTGGATAGACCTGCTGATGGACAGTCATCTGCTCTCCACTGTCATTGTTCCCACCAGAAAGCAATGACTTCATGAAATTAGGCACAGACTTCCCTGAAGGAAGAGAAAGAAGAGCTTAGCCTTCAAAACAAGAAGAAAACAATAAGTACAATTTTGGAAAGATAATTTCGTAAGTCGCACCCGTTTCTGCATTCAGACTGTGCGATACGGCGCTGGGCATCGTGCGCCTGGACTCAGGAGAAGCAGCTGAGAGGTTCTGGTGACTCTCCCAACCCTGCACAGTTATATGCACGCACACACACACACACACACACACACACACACACACACACACACACACACACACACACACACACCCACCATCTGTGTTTTAAGATTAAAGACTTGGTCCTGTCCACATTTCACAACTCAACAATGACGTTTCCATGGTGACATTCAATGGTCACATTTTTGTCCACTTACAGCAAGAGTTGAGCGCTCTGAATAAAACGAGTCCGTCACTTTCATTGATTGAAACAGTTTTATTTTCCCAAATGTGCGGCTTAAAATTAATGAGGACAGAGTTCTTCGTCTTTTTTTGTGAAGAAGGTTGCGCAGTCTAATTCTCCTCCGTCTCCCCCTCAAGCAACCATTCAAGGTCCCATCTGGGGTGACAAATTGTCTTGTCCAGGGAAACCAAGACAACAAGTATTATAAAAAATTAGATTTATTTGAAAAAAACATGGAGACACCGTTCACAGATCTTTCAAGGGAGCCTTCTCTCTCTCCGCGTCTTATCTTGTTGGGAGGTGGTGAAGGCCAGCGCAATCAGCATTTTGAGCAGCTACACAGAGTACAGACTGGTGCAACTTTGCTTATCCGCAAAGTAAGTGGTCAGCATTCAAAGGTACGGTCAGCATTCAATAGTACGAAGAGTTACTTCCATTTAGCGCTGTTATATGTCAAATTCCCATGACACTACCACCCCATTTTCCATGTATTAAATGTTTATGATCATACACAAATTCACAACAACAAAGATACAATGCCGTGAAAAAGTATTTGCCCTCTTCTTGATTCGCCTTATGTTTTGTGCATGTCAGTCAGAAACACAAAGGTTTCAAATCATCAGAAAGGATCAGAAAGGTTTGGATTTTTTTCTTTTTGTGCCTTGAATTGTCAGTGGAAAACAGCATTTTGTATTACCTTGGGTTGTCCGAGTGATAATATTGGTTTGATGAATGGAAACCTGTGTGTGATACATAGGTGGGGGAAAAAAAATAAAATAAATCGGCAGAGGGGGTGGGAGGCTTTTTTTCACGGCACTGTACAAGATGAAGCAGAAGTAGTTTGCCTCTCACCTTGAAGTCACACAGTTTATGAGTTGAAGAGAACACATCCAGATTGCCGGCTGAGAGCTGGGCGGAGAATTTCAGAAGCAGCATGTAGTAGAGTGTTAGCAAGAGCAGTGAGGGCCAACGGTGGGGAGAACAACATTGGGGCCGCTAAGATGTTAGTCACCCGGGGTCGTGTTAGCAGGAAATACTATCGTTCACTTACCCGGTGTACATTTGGGGAGCTGAGGCAGCGTCTGGGAGCTGCTTTACCTCGGACCGCGAGTTGCTCCCTCACTGTTACCTCCTAGACATAGATGTTAAATTGGGGGGGTGGGGGAGCACATTTCTATGGTGTCTATTCAATGAATGGACCAACCTGTCGTAGTCTGTCAAGGGTGAGGATGTTCTCCACAGCCAGGACACTGCGCAGGTATTTCTCAATAGCTGCCTCACTGTTGCCTGACTGGTCATCTTCTGCGCTGGCGGCCAATCGGGCCAGCATCTCTCGGTCTTCTGGTCCGTGAAAATCCTGCGGGAGCAAGGATGCCAATCAGTTAAATGAAAAGTAATGTTTAAGGGAATTATCACCACTTTGGGTTTTATTTGGGACAGAAAAAAAAAAGATGATCTGATCGGCCGTTATTATTGAATACGGTGTCAATGTTTCGGAACAAACACATACTGCATTGATTTCCACTAAAACCATGCCGATTGCATCATCACGGTACTGTACCATCAAGCTTAAATTATCGATTAGTGTGCTGCCTGGGGAAAAAAAAACGTAAAAAATAGCTCAAGTTGTAGGCAGCCCTCCCTCATCTCGCGCACATTTTAGGAACGAGCAATATGCATTTTGATTTGCTCAGTTTGTATTGAGGTCAGCAAAAAAAAAAAAAAAATAGATACCACTTGGGTCGACGAAGTAAAAACGGTGTTTCCACAACTGCACTGCAGTCGTTTGTAGATTTGTGGTGACGAATATTCTGGGTCGATATAAAATGGTATAATCCAGACACTTACTCCTGGTATGTTTGAGACGATTTCAAAGGTGACACCACATCGTGGGATGGTGCTGCGCTGGGACATCCTCTTCAGAAGGCTCTGGGCAAAACCCTACATCAGAAACACAAATACCGTATTTTCCGCACTTAAAGGCGCACTGGATTATGAGGCGCACTTTCAATGAATGGCCTATTTTGTAATTTTTTTTTTTATATATTGGACGCACTGGATTATAAAACGCAATTTTTCTACAATGCATCCACTAGATGGAGCTACGCTCCTTCCGTTCGACTCGAGAGGCGTTCATGACCGCCTCCAAAAAACGTAAATCATTACTTCAATGAAGCCACGAAAATTTAAAATAATGCATCAAAACAGATAATCAAGCGAGGTAATCAAAAAATAAATTCTATAGCCCCTCCTACAGAATTTATTTTCGCATTTCCTTGAGCGCGGCACCAACAGAACGATCAGATGTCAGTAAAATGTAGGAGACTGGACTGTCTCAGAAGTGTTTCTTATTTATTCCTTTGTTGTGTACTGTATTCACAGTACACATTCTGTAGCCCCCACCCCTACAGAATTTATTTTGTGATTTCCTTGCTTGATTTTCTATTTTGATGCATTATTTTCAATTTTCGTAGTTTCATTAAAGGAATCGTTAATTTACGTTTGGATTGATCGGAACACATAACAAAGATCACCTTTTTCCCAGTGACATTAACACAGATGCGTTTCCTCAGGACCAGCTGCATGTGGGCAGGGTGGCTCAACTGGACCACGACGCGGATAGTCAGGTAGACCCTCTGCTCACCAGATGCCACGCGGCTGAGCTCAGGACACTCATGTACTGTTGAGTCCCAGGATGCCTCCACTTTGACCTACACCACAAAAGAGAACATTTACAACACATGAAATATTTTCATTCAAATATTAACTTAGCCCGTTACTCCTACTCTTCAAACATATTGGAAAAAAAGTTTAATAGTTTTGCACAACAGAACCGGTGCACGTCGACTTACTTGAGAATCGTCGTGTTTGACAATGTGAAGGTCAAAGAAGTCATCCTCATCTTCCCCAGCGAGATATGCATCGATCCCCCCGGCGAGAGGGGCTGAGAGGGTCGACTGGAAATCATCAGCTGCAGATCGAAACATTAAGATGAGAATTCACCATCAATTGAGCCATAAGAAGTGTTACAAGAATTGCAGACCAAATACCACTGAGATCCAGAAACAGGACAGGAATGTGTGTTTCCATTCCAGGCACAGGAACTCTGGAAGGAAAAAGCCTCATTGTTTGGTTGACTTGAAAAAAAAACGCTAGATGATTCAGCGGGACTGGACACAAACCCGCACTGGCACACGCACTTTTCAACTGGTGCTCCAGGAATGCCACTGCCAGCTGACGGCACCAAAACAGCATTGCGTTCTTCGGTGAGCGTCAGGCGGCATTCAAGCAGCTGGGACTCCCGCTCCAAATCGTCCTCCGACTTATCTGTGTTAACATGCTCAGGTGTAACAGATGAAACGAGTGTAGCAGATGAAATCACGGTTTGGTCATGAAGGAGGGAAGATAATGATGCTGTTTCTCACTGGAACTGGAAATGTACTGTCTAACCATGATAATACAATATTATAGAAACAAATACAAATAACTGGAGCCTAGCCCAGCTATCAGAAAAAGAGTTGTGCTGTTTGCTGGTAGTAGAAGTGGGAAGATGTCTTTAAATTTGCACGGTAAAATGGTGGATTGTTTTGATACACGTGTACCTGGTTTGGACACTATTTTCTGTAACTGCTGGTCTAGGTACTCCTGTCGCTGAGTGAGCGTGGCCAGCCACTGTTCCCTCATTCTCTCCAAATCCAATTCCTTTGCATAAACACACCAAAAGTGACCTTTTGATGGTCTGCTCACCAAGAAAAAAATACTTTCAGAGGTTGGCCAAATACTTGAGCTAATCTGTTCGCGCAAACATTGAGCATTTACCTGGTAGCTGTCCATTTCTTCATCTCGAGCCTGAAAAACATTTTTAGATCAATAATTTGATATAAATAATCAACGGTGGAAGGGCAGATGAAAGGGAAATCGGTTGACATCTTACTCAAGATCAACACACTTGGAGAAAAAACAAAGTGTTAATACTACACTATTAATATTGTCATCTCGCCTTACCAGCAGTGAGTCCCTGCCTTTTGGTGTATTTTGAACCTTGACATCTCCAATGGACACAGAGAGGATTGTCATGCAGATAAGCGGCATTGTGCCAGAGTCTGGCACGGGGTGCAACTCCACCTGGACTCGACGAGACTGACCCTGTGAAAGGAAAGTTTCTAAAACAGTTGTCTTTGGATAATGAGCATGAAAAACATGTCTGACATGAGTTTTTGGACACCAAATTATTGCAGGCAAACCTGCAAAAACAAACCAAAACAAAAAACCCCACACCTGTTTGAGCTGAAAGATCCCTCCAGTGCGTACGTCCTTAGCAGGAAGAATTTCGACGGGTGTGAATTGCCCTGCATCATTCAGCTCCATTAGCTGAACCCACAGCTCCACCCGCCGAGTCACCTCGCTCCACCTGCCAAGATTGGGGGTGGGGAGTAAAAGAATTTGCAGCACTCTGAACAAAGGTGATCCTCTACCCAGTCATTTTCTACTGTCTGACCTAATCAGGGTAACGCGAGGGCAAGGGGCAGGGTACAATCTGGATTTGTGCCCTTCAATTAACCTGACATGCATGTTTTTTTAGAATACGGGAAGGTCCTGGCCAAGAATGGAACCCCCGGAAGCTGTCAGGTATGAGGCAGGTGTGCAAAACACATCATCCCTCGTACCGCCTCACAATGCATGTATGCAGATATGTGGAAAATAAGATTCAGTTCTACCTTCCAGTGTAATACTGGGCCTCTCAAAACGATTTCTTAATAAAAGTAATATTTGTGTGAGTGTAAACCTTTCTCTGAGTGAACGGGTTTTAGCTTGAATTACTCCGAGGTCCCACAGTGCCAGGTTCCGCCGATGATTGTGCTGTTTGTGGCCGTACACTTCGATAGCCACCGCACCCTCAGATAAATATTCCAAAAAGTCCTCTGACACGGGCACTGACAACTCCTTCAAAAAAAAAAAAAAAAAACAACCATTTCATCAAGAAGCTCCAATTACATTAGTCATTGTGAATCATGAAGAAACACCTCGCAGCTGTCAAAAACAACTGTGCACTGAGGATCTTTGGAAGCAGATGGCGAAGGGGCCCGCGCCATTTCTGGAGGGATGAACACAGACTCCGTCTGCCCACAAAAGTGATACTGGCAGAAGACGAAGTTAGACAGGTGACGAGGAAGTCCGGTAGCCTGGAGGATTTTCACCTGAGGCGACAGCAAAACAGCCTGTTTCCCTTTGCTCCTTTCCAACCAACGCATCAAGACAAGTTCTCAAGTTCTCACCACGCAGTTCAGTTGACGCTCCTGTGCGTCTCCGTCCGAGTTACTTTGTAGTGAGCCTGCTTCCTCTGAGCTTTCCGTCCCTCGCCATACCTCCACATGAAGCCGGCCCGCCACCTGAAAAACAAACATAACGTACGGCAGCTTTTGTTACGGCACCCCATTTTAATATGTCTACCTGGAAACTAAGACTTTGAAGAACACACAGACAGGAAGCAATGTCCTACCTCTCCCTTCTGGTTGATTATGGGAACTGCGTATTGTAGTTTTACGTCATAGAACAGACATGCCAGGAAAACATTGGCCACCCCAATCAGACTGTGGTTCTCCTGCTCATCAAAAAAGGGGTCGGCCCGTTTGAAATATGACCGCATCACCTGTGTTAAACGACAGAAGAATAATCCACATGACTCAAAATGGGCACGTCAAATGAATTCAGAGATGTGTTTCTTTATACACGTTTGAAGACTGAGAACCACGACAGCGTGCTGTTAGCTAGCTTGCTAAGGCTACAGACGAAAATATGCATCTTCCCTGGTCGCCACAATTTACAGAACGGCACGGTGTCGTCACTTTCAATTTTGAATTCCAAATGACATGTGGTTGGTCCCCTCCGGAGATTTTGCAAAGGCGATTCACTCATCCGACTCACAGGGTTGTCTTCATCAAAGTCTTTCCATTCTTGGTAGAGATCCCTCATGTCCACCAGCCTGTTCTCCATCTTCTCCATTGCCCAAATCTGCTTGCCTCTCCCTTTACGACGAACCTGAATGGCCGGCTCGCTCAGCACCACGTCACGCTATTTAAGAGGGGAAAAAAAAAAGTGAAAGTTACTCTACGATGCAAAACTGTGCACCATCACATGACATTGCTCCTTTGAGGCATTTATTTCAACAAATAAGACCTCATCATCATACCTTCCTGTTGGCATCCAGATTGGCAGCTGGTATCTGCAGAGTAACCAGGTACTCAGTCCTTTTGCTGAGTTCCTCTGCAATGAAGGAGGCCTCCTGAGCCAAAAGGTTGGCACGAACGATCTGTTCTTTGAGACGTCGAAGGCTTCGCGTAATCATAGCCTCTCTTGATGACAAGCGCATACCACATACATGGATTTTATTTCCAAAAATAATCATGAATTCATTGATAAACTGAACACAGATGCGTAAAAAGGAGGTCTCACCTATCCTCACTCCAGCGCCGCATACGTTTGTGGGAGACCGGAGACGTTCCAATGACAGCAGCACTATTGGGCAAACCCGACAAGTCGAGGAGATGCGGAGATCTCTCGGGGCTGAGCCGCAGACGAAGCTGCTGCAGCTCCTGCTCATACATTTGCCTCTGGCGCTCCAGGGCGCAGCGTTTCTCCTCCTCATGCTGCCTCTCAAGGGTCTGTAACACTGACTGCAAGGGGTCTGAAGAGGTGCAAAGACGGAGAGATTATCAATCACTTCATGTACCATGGCACGGTCCGACAATTGCTTAACTCGGACCACAGTGCGTTGCGCTACATCAAAGGCTTTAAGCATCTTGAATTGAATAAGTTACCATTGGCTGTCCGTGTGAAGTGAAACTGAAATGAGTTGTTTTTTTTTTTTTAAATCAAACAAATAAAAAGGTCATATGAACAATGAAGTGTTTTCACACTGAGGCAAATTGATGAACAAGCCCAGCAGTGTCACTCACCATTGCTGGCCATTCCTTTCATCATGACTTCAGCCTGAGCAAACTCGAAGCCCACTTCACTAGAAGCGTCACTGGATGTGTCGACGTCCATCTCCAGATGCTGCGTATCGAAGCAGGGCTTCAAGTGAGCTCTGCCCTCCTCCGGCGGCTCCTCCTGCTTCTCCTCACCCACCGTATGGACCAAATGCTTGGGCAAGTTGATCCTGTTGGAGCGCAAAGTTCAAAAACAGGAAGTAAGATAAAGCATAAAATGTCATGCTAATGCTTAGTGTACAGTATATAAATTACGTTTAAACATGATTTTAACAAAACTATACATACACACACACACACTAGTAGGTCAGTCAAACCTGAAGAAATGGTTGTTTCCCCACAAGATCCGATCTCCATGATGAAGGTGCACAGGTCCGGCGACCGCAGTGCCATTCACCCACGTCCTTCATTGAGAACATGACCAACTAACACGTTAGTTCAAAAGGAAGCGTTTTGAGGGTGGACTGCGGTACACCTCCAAACAAATTCTGGGAGTCAATTGCTGCATCCTCAAAGGAGATCACACTGGCAGAAAGTGCACTTAAAATTTCAATCAATAATACTTCCACAGAATAACATACCGAGTACATACCGAGCATTGCGGTGAGGTGTGAGCACCACGCCGTCGTTTTGCGTGACATCGATGATGCAGTGCTCGGCTTGGATGGCCATCCCACACAGCTGGATGTCCTGTGATTTGGACGAGCCCACACGCGTATGTTCCTGCATATGAAGCAAAGCGAAAAAGAGAGACTTCAGAAAGTCACTTCCACAACACAGGTTATGATTCATGGTTATAGTTTGGCTGTGCCTGCGTGGGCCCGGCACCTTTAGGTAGTAGACGAGCAGCTCGTTGAGGGCAGGGTCAGCATTCAAGTTCACCAGGAAGCACTTGTCATCCACTACCCTGATGCCAGACGACTGCAGGGAAATGCCCAAACTCTCCAGCTGCCTCTGACGCTCCTGCAGAAGAAAAGAATTCTGCATTATGATCCAGACAAATTATGCTGAATGAAATGCATTTCATTGGATGAGGTGTTATTGGGATAAAAATTTCTGGGCAATTAGTGGCTGAGGGTTGATTACTTGCGCAATAGACTCGGTTTTCCTGAGTTTCTCCTCCCAAGTCACGGTCATCTCTTGGATTAGTTTCTCGGACTCTTCCAGTCGCTCCTTCAGTTCCGGGGCCTTCATAGACTGAAAGCAATACCATTTGATTTCACTTGAATATATTTTACTGATTATAACCCGTCAGGGGGAAATTATGATGCTGTATATACACATGGACAAAATTACTGACACGATAAATAAATACATTAAAAAATATGAAAGGCATCAACATGTCTGCCTCATTTTGTTGCATAACATTTCAAGGCAATGGGACAAATTCTGTAATTTGCCACGAATTTTGAATATTGCTGTGTCAATATCAAAACATTTGAGTTGCAAAAATGTGTTTTTCGCTTCAAACAGCATAGAAGACCTCAGCCTCTGTGAGCTGCTCCCTCAGTTTCTCGACTTCCTCTCGCAGTTCTCTGATAATTCTGGCATTGGGGTCTTCGTTGACCACAGCGTGGTTGACGATGCTTTTGGCCCGGTCGGCGTAACGCAGGGTGGACAGAGTCTCGTCATAATTGTCCGCCGCTGGGCTGATGGTGGCCACCATGGCTGTGCGGCTGTTCCCTCCCAAACTGTCCTGCAGTTACAGACATCACGTCAGCAACATCGGTGGCAACATTTATGAATCAAATATGTAAAATTAATATCTTAAACTGCAAAGAACTAATTTTGCAAACTGATACAAAAAAAAACACACACAACAATTAAACCAAGCAGTGACACTGAAATGCTTAAATCAATGCATAAAATGCATCAACTGAAAATGGGTTGTGTTATGGGATAAAAATTTTGAAGGAAAATCTAAACATCAGACTTTGAAAAGAAGTAAATGAGTACCTTGAGCAGCCATGTGAGCACCGAGTCCCTATAGGGAACAAATTTGCTCCTGTTCTTCCCTGCCCCCTGATCCGCCAAGGCTGAGATAACCAAGCCCAATGTGCTGAGAGATCTGGAGGCAGGCGAGACGGATTGGGGAGAGGAGCACCACGTGAACAATTTTTCTGGAAAAGCCGTCCAGTTAGACTGACCTTGAGTAACGAAACTTCCAAATACTACAAAGTTTGAACTCAATGCAGATGAGATCATTCACGCTACGATTATACGTGGCACTGTTATATCAGTTCTCTCACTTGTTGATGTTGCTGCCTTCTTTCAGTCTTTCACCAGCTGCCCCAGTCTTGGCTGCACGCTCACTGCCTGCCAGGTCCACCAGACTAAGCTTGCTTACCTTCTCTCCACTTGTCTAAAGTGAAGACACAAACTGTACAAATAACCCTTCAAGCATTTGAAAAAGGAAATCAAGCTCACGTACAATATTGGGCAACCAGAAATGAGCTTCTCTATATTCATGGGCAAAGCGAGATGGAGGAAGTGCTGGCAAGCTAACTTGTTGGTTTTGCCGAGCGCATGCGTCTCACCCCTGACTGCAGGTCCACGAGAGTGTGAGTGAGGATGATGTTAAACACAGCGTGTGATCTGCTGCTCTCTTCATTCATATTTGTGGAGGCCACCGTACGAGATTTATTTCCCTCCGACATCAGCGATTCAATGTCCTGCCAAAATCAGGAGAAACAATGGTCACTTTTTCGCATGTCTTCAGAAAACCAACATGCATTTGTAAGCAGACTTAAACAAAGCATCTGTTCCAAGTGCTAACGGCCACTATACCTTGTAGCTAGCCACAGCCAGACGTGATAGGCCATCAACATAAGGTCCCAAAACGTTGTGCTCCCTTACTCTCAGCGTTTGACGGCTTCTACAAATACAAACGTATGGTATCATTAAGGGCTCCTGCTTTCCAAATACACTGTACCATCAAAATCACATACATAGATATATACAACCAACACCGCCTTGATTGGCTTGGTCCGTGTGTCACACGCACACACTAATGCAAAAAACATCCATCCATCCATCCATTTTCTAATCCGTTTATCCTCAGGAGGGACGCGGGCGTGCCAGAGCCTATCCCAGCTGTCTTCGGGCAGTAGGCGGGATACACCCAGAACCGGTTGCCAGTCACTCACAAGGCAAGCACAGACAATCGACCATTCACGCTGCCAATCACACATTAGGGACAATTTAGAGTGCTCCACGAACCTGCCGTGCAAGTTTTTGAAACGCGGCAGGAAACCGGACTACCCGGAGAAAACCCACGCAGGCACGGGGAGAACATGCAAACTCCACACAGGAAGGCCGGAGCCGGAATTGAACCCTGCACCTCTGCACTATGTGCAATGTTCAATCAATAGTCTTTGAAAAGATTTGGTGTACGCGTACTGGACACGAGTCATTGGTTTTCCTCACCCTTTAGGGTCGAGCAGGTCTCGGACTTTTTCATTGTAAATCTCCATGTAGGAGACTTCCACAGTGAAGCTCTCTCCCTCTCCAGCTTCCCGCATGGTCCTGGAGAACAAGGAGCTGCAGAGGCGAGGGATCAAACCAGGCTGCTCTGCTGAGCCCATCATGGTGTAAGACTTCCCGGAGCCTGAAAATGGACAGGTAGTGTCAACAGTTCACATTTGAGGCACGAGGCCCTCCACCAATCAAAGAAATGTACTTCATGTCAACCGGTATTTTGTGCCATTTTGTTTTGATGTTTGGGAAAATTTACCTTGCAGCCGCGACATCATATCTCAAGATAATTTTAACGGCAATGTGGTGGAACTGGAGAAAGGTATTTCGTTGATTTCGTGCAATGCTCTCCAAAATGTTCCATTGTGAAAAGCACCGGCGCTAAAGCACAAAACCTTTTAAACGGTCATCACCACTTGCATTTTTCTCCTCTAATTTTGCAAGAACAAAAATAATAGGAATCATAACGTTCGCTCATGGGTCATAAAGTACCTTACTTACCTGTTTGCCCATAGGCAAAGATGCAGGCATTGTAACCCATGAAGGCGTTGTCTAGTAAACTCTCCCCAAGGCACTGGAACACTACTTCTTGACCTGTAAACACATAAAGGAACAAATAAAGTGGAAAATTGATGCAAGTTGTCCTTCACCTTCAAGTTAATCTCAAAGGCAACGGGGGGACTCACTACAATCATTGTTGAGCAATTATTTTTCCCAGAGAATGTGGCTGAATTCTTATTGTTATCTAATGATACAAAGATGGCTGAAAATAGCCATGTTCTATTTTCAACCTTTTATTCTTATTTTTTGTTGTTTACGCGTGACTACATCCTAGCAGTAAGAGAGTCCATTTATTTCCCTCACTCCATAAATAGTTCAGAGCTCAGCCAACATTCTGTGATGAGGTCGGTATTCGAACTGAGTCATCAAGCACACAAGCTAAAAACGGCACAGAGTCTGATAAAAAGCAAACCTGCAAACTTGTCTTTCTGGGATTCATCCATGGACCAGAAACAGTGATCATAAGCAAACACCTGAGGAAGAACAAGCCGTTATGGAAGGGATTATTATTTCCAGAGCTATTTAGTGCAGGGGTGTCCAAGCTATGGCCCGGGGCCAAGTTTGGACACCCCCAACTTAGTGTATTGAAAACAAAAGATGATGTGACATATTTTAATTCAAGACTAACCTTTGCCTGATTCCTAAGGGAAAAGAGATTGGAAAAATTAGCACTCACATTTATTTAAATTAACTATCAAACAAAATGTAATAAAATGTACAGTGCGTAGGTGAGAGCAAGAACACGTGTAAATTATTCATTGCGTGGGACCACAAAATAGACATAAGCAAAAATGTGACTGTTATCCAGGCAGATGCTATTACGATGTTATTTAGATTTACATGGATTTTCAACCTGGAATTTGAGTTGGAAACTTTGTATGTGTTTGTTGCCAGCGGTTAAGACATTGATGGCTCTGTGCTGGCTTATTAACATAAATATAAGATGTATAAAATATGAACCACAAATTGCAATTACAAAAAAAAAAAAAAACAACGACCATTTTTGAGCAGGTACATGTCATTTCATTATCTCATAGCACCTACTATCCAAAGCATCAACACGGTAGTCACACGGGAGCAAATTTGGAATCCATTAAAACCTGAGTTTCAATTTCAAAGATTCATGAATTGAGATTGTTGGCAAGAATGCAACCTTGTATCCCCCATACTCGTATGATCAAATGCCAGCATGCTGGGTTAATTTTATTGTCTATCCGTAACATAAAATTGTTCATTGATGCTACATATATTTTTTTACATTATTGAAATGAGAGATAGGCTGTGATTCCAAATTTATATTTTCACAGACATGACTAGTGAACATGGCTGTGTCCTCTTTTAAAAGTTTGTATCTTGTACAAACTTGTCAAGAAATTTAAAAATATTGTCTTGTACATGTGAAACTGTTTGGGACATGTTTGTTTGACATTACCAGTTCTGTTTGAAGAAGAAAAAAAAACTGCAAATGGCATCAATTATTTTTATAACATTACTATTTAAAACTTAAAGCACGATCTCCAACAGCAGATTCGATTTGACTTTGCAAGAGCACCTGATAAATTGGGCAGGGAGTGGTGTACATTAGACACATTGTGCACAACGGTGGGGGGGGGGGCTGTCTTCAAGCAAGCAGACATATCAATTAGGCTTTTGAAAAAAAAGACTGCTGAAGTAGTCATGGCCACACATGGGCTGAAACAAGGCCTCACTGTGGGAGATTTGCTGGCCCGTGAAAGAGCAACATTAAGTCCTGTCCTCTCCTGGGCTGGCAAGGACATTCCTAAGATAACTGGCAGCGAATCCCAGCTCCAAGGAGTCACTAAAATGGAGGGGAGGAGGAAGGTAAGGCTGACTAACCAAGTGTAGGCATGCTCTGTAGGATGACAGCATACACAAGATGCACAGCAACTTTCAAGTTGGGAAATGATAAACATTGTGATAAAATCAACAGCCAAGAGTTATTATCAAAAGCAAACAGAGATAAGGGAGAAGAATTACACTCCCATTTCTAGTACACTTGTCCTCAAGGGATGATAAACATAACCAAACTTCAAGGGCAGCTAAAAACACCGACCATTTTTGAGCAGGTACATGTCATTTCATTATCTCATAGCACCTACTCTCCAAAGCATCAACACGGTAGTCATACAGGAGCAAATTTGGAATCCATTAAAACCTGAGTTTCAATTTCAAAGATTCATGAATTGAGATTGTTGGCAAGAATGCAACCTTGTATCCCCCATACTCGTATGATCAGATTCGATTTGACTTTGCAAGAGCACCTGATATATTGGGCAGGGAGTGGTGTACATTAGACACATTGTGTGCACAACGGTGGGGGGGACTGTCTTCAAGCAAGCAGACATATCAATTAGGCTTTTGAAAAAAAGACTGCTGAAGTAGTCATGGCCACACATGGGCTGAAACAAGGCCTCACTGTGGGAGATTTGCTGGCCCGTGAAAGAGCAACATTAAGTCCTGTCCTCTCCTGGGCTGGCAAGGACATTCCTAAGATAACTGGCAGCGAATCCCAGCTCCAAGGAGTCACTAAAATGGAGGGGAGGAGGAAGGTAAGGCTGACTAACCAAGTGTAGGCATGCTCTGTAGGATGACAGCATACACAAGATGCACAGCAACTTTCAAGTTGGGAAATGATAAACATTGTGATAAAATCAACAGCCAAGAGTTATTATCAAAAGCAAACAGAGATAAGGGAGAAGAATTACACTCCCATTTCTAGTACACTTGTCCTCAAGGGATGATAAACATAACCAAACTTCAAGGGCAGCTTTCAGAATCCGGCACACTCATCCCCCCGCCCAAAAAAAAAAATCATAATCTGTGAAAGAATGCGCATGTATGGTCACTGGCATTACAGTAGGTGGTCTCCCAAGTTATGAGAGCAGTAACAAGGGTTCATTAATCTCTCCCGTCTAGAGGGTCTGACGGAACTTGCTATATTGGTGGCTTGCCGTGGATACCTCGGGTGGTGCAATATATTAACATCCATCCCCCGAGGCTTACGCAGCAACTCGGCTCAAGCTGTCAGGCAACAAGCTGACAAAGCACAAACCTCGGAAATGCGGCGAGTCAGTGACTTGCCTTACAACCAAGGCATCTGCTGGACACACATTTTGCTCACAATGACAAAATGACATGCTAATTAGGTCCATTCAATGTTTTGATGAAAATCTTGCTTTTCTCTTTCTGTATGACCCTTTGTGGAAGTCTGTCCCTGTGTTAAAGAGAGCTGGTAAAACCTGTTCAGATTATGCCTAAAGGGGAATACACGTGGCTGAAGCATGTCAGGGCAGAAGCGACACACTGACACACAAAAAATGTTTAGCATGGCTATGTACGCAGGGAGCATCTAAAAAAATGGGCTTTCACAAAAAACACATACTTGCCAGTTTGGATTATGTGGACTTTCAAAAAAAAAAAAACTAATTCAAACGGTGATCAGATCCATATACCTTATTTTCTGCACTAAAAGGTGCACTAGATTATGAGGCGCACCTTCAATGAATGGCCTATTTTGTAATATATTTCAAAATTGGACGCACTGCTTTATAAGACGCAATCTACAATGCATCCACTAGACGGAGCTACGCTCCTTACGTTAGACTCGAGAGGCGTTCATGACCACCTCCGAAAAACGTAAATTAACGATTACTTCAATGAAGCTACGAAAATTTAAAATAATGCATCAAAACAAAATAATCAAGCGAGGAAATCACAAAATAAATTCTACAGCCTCCCTACAGAATTTATTTTGGCATTTCCTTGAGCTCCAACAGAATGATCAGATATCAGTAAAATGTAGGAGACTGGACTGTCTCAGAAGTGTTTGTTATTTATTCCTTTGTTGTGTGCTGTATTCACAAACGAGGAAATCACAAAATAAATTCTGTTTGGGGGGGGGGCTACAGAATTTATTTTGTGATTTCCTTGCTTGATTTTCTGTTTTGATGCAAGATTTTAAATTTTCGTAGTTTCATCGAAGGAATCGTTAATTTACGTTTTTCGGAGGCGGTCATGAACGCCTCTCTAGTTGAACGGAAGAAGAGAAGGCACGGATTCGGACAAAGGCTACAACCTGTATTTGTTGAGACTGTGAAAACCATTAATAAAGTGTGCGTTTTTAAAAAAAACAACACCACAGCTCTCCTTTTATCTGAGCTGCAACAAAAACTTATTTAATAAAGCAGTGACACAGTTCACTGAACCAACAGCAAGTTATAACATTGTAAGCATTTCTCCAGCAAGGAGCCAGCTTGGGGTCGACATATTACCGTAATGACCATACACAAGGCACACCAGATTTTAAGGCACGCTGTGACCTTTTAAGAAAATGGAAGACTTTTTGGTACGCCTTATAGTGCGGAAAATACAGTAATTTCTTTGTCTTAAATTAAGAGCACAGAACTTGTTTCTATTCTTTCTTTTCAAACAAGACTGGGCAGTAAGCGACACACCCTTTGTAAAGAGATGCATGATTTAGGAAGGACGTGTAGGTGGGGGATAGGAGTCTCCTCCACCAAACATTGGCTGCTAACCAGACAAGCTCGTTACAGCCTGTCCAGTATATGCTCTGCTACCAGTGCAGAGAACAAGATGAATTCCTTTGGTATTAATAATATGTGCACAGAACTAACCAACAGCTGCATAACTTAAAATGAAAACAATATACATACTTGCATTAATTTACCGCACCCCAGCCCTGTTTTTAAAGAATGGCAGTTGAACAAGCTTATAAATTCAAATTATATGTCATTATTCATGTAAAAATGAAGCCTATGTAGTTGCCTCCAAATTTAGGTGACAAGTTACAATCTTGCATCAAAACCTCTATTGAGTACAACGAACAACTTAACAAATAGTTCTCTGATGTCAAAGAAACACCTTCAAGAAATGTTGCACATTGCTTGGTGCTATTAATAAAGAAGACACTTCCTGTGGGCTGCCTGTCAAAATCAAATGTCAAGTCAAAAGTCAAAAAGTACAAACGTATTGCGCCAAGTAGAATCAAATTGTTCATAATACAAACATGTAAAATAGACCATACAAATATGGCAGATAAGTGTTTAAACAGTGAGGTTTATGCTCAAAAGAAAAGTCTAATGAATGGAATACACTAAGAAAACAAACCCTCAAAAAAAGTCAAAATTGGAGATATTTGATCCAAATAAAAATGTGACGCATGTTCACATTTCCAAAAAATCTTTGGCGATGAACAATTACAAATTCTTGTTCCGTGTCCACTGTGTCAATATTAAATCTTGCATTCAAACAAATTAATTTAAATTAAATTGTGTTTCACTTACCGGGGGTCTCCTTTGCTCAAAGCTGCAATGGCAGGATTCAATATTGTCTGGTTCCCTTCCATTTCTACCACACATTTTGCCGTGAGGTCTTTTTCTGGAGAGATGAATATTGAACATTTTAAAACAGGGACAAAATATGATTGTCTTTTGACAATAACGCGGCTTACAACATCAGCTGCCCATTGCATGAGGTCAAAAGTCATAAATTTCCACAGTAGCCATGAGCACGACTCTGAGATTTCAACAACAGGTGCCGACCAGGTATAGGAATAAAATCTAAATATTCTTAAAGTGTGCCTTCAAGATATCTTTCTCCAGACCACCTTATATACATACACAGGATGTAGTGTATCGCCCCTTCTACATTCTGTACTTGCATGAATTTCCATTCAGTCACCCTGGCACACCTTTTTGTTTTTCTTCCAAAAAGCAAATCTCTCAATATAAACGAACAGGGTTAAAGAGTCTGAAATGCCCACTGGAGCTGGACAGAATTATTAAAAGCCTGGGTCTAAAGGGCAACTTAAAACCATTAATACATGGTGACTAGCTGTGTGACCTTTTCTCTCACCTCTTCTGCTCATTGGTCGCACACGAACTGCGACCTTAACGTTGGAGTCATTGAGCTTGTTGTCATCCATTGTGCTGTCTGACCAATGGGACAAAAAAAAAGTTAATTTGCGCAAATTATGAAACCCCAATGGAATTTTTGAAGACTTGGAAGGCCACAGAGCAGGTACACGCTTGCAATCTTCTCTGTATGTCAAATCACCGAGACGCAGTTAAAAAAAAACGACAAATCACACCCCACGACAGAAAGTAATCAAATAAAAGCTTCACTTCAATTTGAGGTGTACAACTAAAGACTTACCGTGTGAAAGTGCGCCGTTCAACAGTCACCGACGTCCCCTTTCAGTTAGCCAATGACGCTAACGAGAGCTGACTGACAGAAAGGAAACTATTTTTAAACATAGTTCAGTTGAAAGAAACGGACTGTCTTGTTCAATCAGACCTCGGTTTATATTTGCTGGTTTTACAAGAGTCACTTACGGTGGTCCAGGGGGGCATTGCGTGGGTTCATCCACCTGTTTGTTGTATTTCCTGAAAGTTGCCGTAGAGATCCGTCAAGCCATGTCACCTCGCTGCTCAAGGATTTACTAGGGTGAGATTTCGCCCACGAACAAGTTGCCAGTCGGCATCTGATCTGTAAGCCACCTGTTCAGTAGCACGTGGACGACTTCACAGCAGCTAGGTCGCTCCCTATGCTATACAAGTCTTTTATTTACCTTCTCAACGACGCTCTGTGAGAAACAAGACACTCGTCGTCGTAAAAAAAAAAAAAAAAAAAAAAAAAAAAAAAAACACAAAGTGGGAAAATTTTTTACATTTTTTCAAGCCGGCGACGATTTTGAAATTCTCTAACTAGACGGCTGATTAGCAATATGCACACCAGCGGCCGTGAGTGGTAAAATACTGTATCGGGGGTGTGCAAATCAGGTGCCGCCGTCCTGCCTGTTTTCCAGCTACCTCGGCTGCAACACGCCTGATTCATTTCTTTCCCCACTGTTCAAGACAAGTGCAATGATTGATAAGTACTGTATCCGCGTCCTGTTCTGTTCTTACTTTTTAAAGATTGTAATTGAATGTGGCCATCCCATTTTTTTATTTTTCTTCGACCATTCAATAGTTTCCAAAATATGAGTGTTTTATTGCGTGCGTGTTTGTGAAATTTACTTTTAGATTTACGCTACATTAAATGACATACACATGACATACTGTATTTATCTGTATGCAAATATGTAATCATACCACATTGTACAGTTTGTTGTACATGTAGGTCTGTATATATTTGTATTTGCTTTTAATTTGCCATAGTTTGCTAATCAGTATGCGTGTGTGTGTGTGTGCGCGCGCGCTTGTGTGAATGTACAGCAGAAATGAATGCGTGGATAGCTTTTGCAGCTCTAAAGAGGATCCACAAAATGTCTTTATTTTACTTTTTGCATGAATACGATGAAAAACTACTCACATTGTAGTCGCGGCTTTTCTAAAGGATCCATTTTTTTCCCATAAATACACGATGAAAAACAACTCACACTGCCATCAGAGGCATTTTTTAATGTAATCACATGTAGTAAACCTGTTTAGCTTGTAGTGCAAAATGCGCATATTGGTTTTAATGCGCAATTCCTTTTACGCCGTTTTACGACATGCCCAACTATTTAACGATAAGCCGTGTTCTGATGCAACAACACGTTGTTTACTATTTTTGCCGACAAGCGTGGTCGCTGTGCGTCGGTAAAGTTCTTTATCACGGTTGAATTTAGCCGACGGAGGAATACGGAGGAATGGGGAAGCCAAAGAAAAAGAGTAAGTTTTCGTCAAAGTGACAGGCTCCCGGAGCTCATTGCTAATGCTAACGAAAGTAATTTCTCTTGTGTAGTTGTTCCTCTCAATTTGTAAGTAGTTTGTACATTTTCATAACTACATATTTCTTTATGACAGGTGACCTCAGTCGAGCTGAACTGATGATGATGACAATCGCCGATGTCATCAAACAGCTGGTTGAAGCACACGAAGAGGGAAAAGACATCAACCTCAACAAGTATGGAACACACACTGAGACACTTCACATATTGTATTTTGATGTCTGGGCAAAGACGTTATGCAGTAAACTATATACAATCCTTGCGCTGTAATGACAAATGGAAGTACGGCGCACACAGTGCAGAGAAGAGATCCGATTGTATTTTCTATTGGATAAAATTAGGTCATCAAAGCATTAGAAAAGGCCGTTCATATAATATAGTACGGTTCTATGCCACTGCAAACTACAACCACAAACAAACCCTTTGTTAGATTGATACTTCTCTGAGAGAGTTAATCAAAGCTTTATTACCTTTGTAACGACTGAATTAAATGGCCAAGTAGAGTAAGGCTGCATGTCAGTGGACATTAGTATTGGAAAAATGCCAGGTAGCCAATGATCATTAATTCTCAACTAATGTAATGTTAAAATACACTTCCAACAAATAACCCCAGTTGTTTCCCATTGCAGCTACTGTATTCACACTTCTCAATTATTTTCTAATAGACTGAAAACAAAGACCTCCGCTAAATATGGCCTGGAGGCTCAGCCTCGATTGGTGGATATTATAGCCGCTGTTCCTCCACAATACCGCCGTGCTTTGGTACCCAAACTAAAGGCCAAACCGATCCGCACTGCCAGTGGGGTAAGTAGCTCTCTGAAACGTAATAAACATTGGTGACAGTGCCCTCACATTACTATATCACGTGTAAAATTTTATTCCTCATGATATGTAGAAAAATGGTGGTCTTTTTTTTCCCCGTCTCTTGTTACAGATTGCAGTTGTCGCTGTGATGTGCAAACCACATAGATGTCCACACATTAGCTTCACAGGCAATATTTGCGTGTAAGTGCCAGCTGCCCTCAAATGTAATTATTCTGACCTCCACAAACAAGTTCAACTTGAATTGTCTGTGCAATTTTTTGGGTCTTAACACAAATATCAAGAAAAATAAAAAGAAAAGGGGCAATTACATTTTTTGCTGTCAATGATACTATTGTGTACAGAATTGGTTATAATTACTTCAAAATACCCATTATGTGTTTCTAAGAACACAGGCGTAGGTACATCATGTTCTGTCATGCTCATGTTTGTAGGTACTGCCCTGGTGGGCCGGACTCAGACTTTGAATACTCCACACAGTCTTACACCGGTTATGAGGTAAAGTTTTTCAGACTCGCATATTTCCTCTTATACAGCAGTGGCCTCAACCATTTATTTTACGTACTTAAACTGCTGAAGACCATGGGACTCATTTATCATTCGTGCGTATGCACAGAAGTGCCTGATAGCAGTCGGCAGGAAAGAGCGGCGGTACCTCTCCTTCTTGCAGCACGGGTGTATCAGTCTCTGGCTGAAGGAGCTGCCCGGTGCTGTCAGGATGGCCTGGAGGGGGTGGGAGGATCTGTCCATCATAGCTCAATTTAGACCTGTCTGTGAGGATGTGCAGAAACTTACAGAGCTCAGCCAAGCTATTTTTTTTCCAAAAATCACATGTTTTGCAAACGATAATTGCAACATTACCCAAGTTGATGAAAGTTACTTTCTGGGGGTGTGTGACTTTGCCATTTGCTCTTTCTGAAAGGGAACGGGTTAAAAAATAATAATAAATGGGAAAAAGTCATTAAAAGGACTAGTCTCGAGAAAACCTAGACATATTTTAAATTGCTCTATTGTTTTTTTTTTTTTTTTTTTCATTGTCATAGCCCACCTCAATGAGAGCCATTCGAGCGCGATACGATCCCTACCTTCAGACCAGACATCGTGTGGAGCAGGTCAGTCGTATGCTTTCAGCGTGGCAGTTGATACCACTGGCCAATGACAGCATGTAAATAGACACGCGTGCCATAACTTTATTATCGCACGATGCACAGCATCAGCGCAAAACTACATCAACTTGCCTGGCAACTTTCCTTCGAATTAAGCTTATTGATCTGTTTCCAATTCAACGAACACAACCATCGGTATCAACATCTATGTATTTGGTGTGATCTGCAGCTCAAGCAGCTGGGTCACAGTGTGGATAAGGTGGAGTTCATTGTGATGGGCGGGACCTTCATGGCTCTGTCTGAAGAGTACAGGGATTACTTCATTCGGAATCTGCACGATGCTTTGTCTGGACACACTTCAAACGATGTGGCCGAGGCTGTAAGGTACCCAAAAGCTTATCAATTGAACTGACGTGACAATAAATTGACTTTGTAAAAGAGATAAGAATGTAAATCGTACAGTTTGCAGCATGTTACCAGACAGGTGCAATAATTTTCCCGATGCATATTCACCACATCACCATTGGTAAATCAACAATCCCATCCATACATAGATAGATTTTCTGCTTGTCACTGATTTGTGTCACTGATGAGCTACAACTACTACTCCCTGGACTGGCGGCTTGTCAATCTCACAAGTAGACAATGTAGTGATTTTTTTTCTTCTAAGCAATATGATAGTTACCCCCTAAACTCTTTAACAAAAGTTAAGAATAATACAGCAGCAAATGAAAACAAAATACAGCAGCGAGTGAATGTAATGCTCCATTGCATTGTACACTAGAGGGAGCTGTTTCACTATCTTATCACTTCTTGACATAGCAGAGGCAAAAATCTAATCCAAGAAGGGGGAGAAATGTCCATCCATCTATCCATTTTCCGATCCGCCTTATTCTCACAATGGTCGCGGTGGGGGGTGCTGGAGCCTATCCCAGCCGTCGTCGGGCAGTAGGAGGGGGACACCCTGAAACGGTTGCCGGCCAATCGCAGTGCACACAGAAACAAACAACCATACGCGCTCACACACACACCTAGGGACAATTGTGAGTGTTCAATCAGCCTGCCATGCATGTTTTTGGAATGTGGGAGGAAACCAGAGCACCCGGAGAAAACCCACGCAGGCCCGAGGAGAACATTCAAACTTCATACAGGAAGGCCGGAGCTGGGATCGAACCCACGACCTCTGCTGGGGTGGCGGGGTGGGGCAAAGTGTATCGATGCAAATGGAGCTTTTGAGGACTAGCTTGTTAGCCATTGTTGTTCTTGAACAAATTGTTCCCTGAACTTGTACTCTGACCACACAATACATTCAAACTGACCCCTTGGTCTTTGACACTAACTCACCATAACAGAACCCATTGAATTAGATGAAGCTTTAATGCACCCGTGCCAGCAGTGTCCACGAGACGTCTGATCCAAAGTCCAAGAGAAAAAGGGCCATATCTGGGAGTGTTTTGGGTCTGCTTCCATTGATTTCTCGCTTTACTGAGGTGCTGAGCTATGAATGAAATTGTGCCCACTCCTGCTCAGAATGGATGAGGAGCAACTTTTCAGATGACTTGGAGAAGATTCAAAGTCAAAGTAGAATTACCAATTTGTTCAGGAGCTGACGACATCAAATGATTTGGACCAAATAATAGCTTTTTCACAGGACTATGTTTGTTTACTTCCCTAAAGACTGATAAGACCAAGGAGAGCAGTTTGGTTGTGCGTCATTTTCCCAGCATAAGTATGTGTTTGCAGTGTGTGTGTTTAAAAAAAAAAAAAACCGCTTATCAGCTATCAACAGGCCTTGTTAAGATGCTTTGATTGCAGTAATTGCTATGGCGTTTCAATGGCAAGGTGGTGGCGTGCTGTATGTTTGTGTTTATAGCGTGTGTGTGTGTGCCCATGTGACACTCACCTCTCACCACGGCCACGCTGTTCCAAATCTTTTCACATCAGTGAGATGCGTTGAGATCATCACCCAAGATAATAGACTTTTTTTTTTTATTGATTCATTTTGCACAATCCGATTGTCCTCTCGGCAGCACAAACTCCCATAATTGGTGTAGATCAACCAGCAGACTGTAAAAGATGGGTATTTACGACTGGCGCCTGCAGAATCAGAAGAAATGTGAGCTGGCATGAAGGGAGCGAATGGTCATTGCAAAATGAAAGCAATGAGATATTTCTGTTCACCTACTTGAAATGAAGCTCCTCCAGACGAGGCAGATTCTGTCAGCTCCAACATGTCTGACCTCACAAAAATTCCCAGATACACTTCAAAATCTGCCAGAAAGGCTTCTCCAGGAAACGGTGACCAAATTCATAACTTCCAGTTTCATTTTACATGCACAGCCGTGGAAATAGTTTGGTTTATTTTGGAATATAATCACAATGATGAATAGCACAGTTACAGTGTGGACAGCTTCAAGCAGGCAGCATTGTGGCGTTGTGGTGAACATGTCTATCTCGCAGTTTGGGGGGGCCTGTGTGTAGCTTGCATGTCGTGGGGGTTTTCCCCAGATACACTGACTTACAAGTTTTAAAAACACACGTACTTCTGTTCACTGAAGGCTCTAAATTGTCCACAGGCATAACTGTGAGTGTACATAAAACTTGAGGATAGACACGCTTGCAAAATTGGGTGAGTTTTCGATCATGTTTTAAGATGTACTAAAGGTAGACTCATTGTTGAGCTGAAAAATCATAAGAGTTTCACAACTGCTAAAAACAAGTAGACATTTGTTGACCTGTTCTATTCATTGTGGAAAGTTTTATTTGTCCACACATACCTGAAAGTACACAACTTGCCGACTGTCAACTTTGATTCGAAAAAAAAGGTAAGAACAGTTTGTGTAACTTTCATTTTCAACAAATTAGGGGATGAGAGGATAGCAGCAAAGAACTTTGGGTTTTGGTGCTGTGGATTGACTAGCCACCACAACCTCCCCTTTTACAAGAGCTCTCTATGATTACAAAAAAATAAAAATGTATTTATGAAGTGTCCAGCAAAAATATTTGTTCAATCCTGTTCTCATTTTAAATGACGTGAGGGCTGGATACCAACCACATACAAGGAAAATTTGTCTTCAGTATTCGTTAATAATGAATTCAATACAAGTGACTTAAACAGCAGTATTGGATTTATTCGAGCTTTTTTTTTCTCCCCCTCCTACTGTGGTCTGGAATGAGAGCAATTACAACCATCATAACCACTAAAGTCAAGGGCAGTTAAACCAAAACAATGTGCTGAAAAATGTTGAGTTAGCTGATGATGCTTTCTTGGCTTACTGTTTTAACTACGAGGGGCACCTTTCACAGTACATATACTGTCATCCATACAAGCCAAATCAAAGTGCCGATACTGATAGTATGCGTCCATTTACAATCAAAACTTTCTAAATCATGTCTTTAGATTGCATTTGACAAAACGCAAATACTCATTAATATCTCATTTAATATTTGCTTTGCAATCACATTTTTTTTAATTTGCTATATTAATTTTATTGCATCTGCATGTCCTTAATGCGAGGTTAATGTTAACTCTGCGAGTAATGAGCCTTGCGAGCGCTCTCACCATGTAAATTGATGTTGCTAAATTACCCCAATAATGTTGTCTCTGTCAAACTAGGTTATGTTGATTTAAATATAAAAATATCTATCTATATATATGTACATATATACACACACACAAAACACCACAGGTACTCTGAGCGCAGTAACACCAAGTGTGTTGGAATCACTATCGAGACGCGGCCCGACTACTGCCTCAAGCGACACCTGAGTGACATGCTGGGATACGGCTGCACAAGACTGGAGATCGGCGTCCAGAGCGTGTATGAAGATGTGGCCAGAGATACGAACAGGTCAGTGAGCTGGCTGCAAAAGTCTGAAAGACTGGCCTGACTGACATGACCTTCTGTGGGTTTTTTTTTTTTTTTGTGTGTGTGTTTTGGTGTGTGAACATGTTCCTACAGGGGCCACACAGTTCGAGCCGTGTGTGAGTCTTTCCACCTTGCAAAAGATGCCGGCTTCAAGGTGGTGGCCCACATGATGCCAGACCTGCCCAATGTCGGCATAGAGAGAGATGTGGAGCAGTTCATTGTAAGTGTCTATATTGCTCTTGCTACTTATGATATTAGTCTGAGGGGTAGGGGTAGTATTTTAGTTAGAGAGTTGCGAAATAGAGTGCTTCACAGGGACAGTTCAAGAAGTATTTACTGTCAAGGTAGCTTGCAACCTTACAATTACAGGTTAGGGGCTACTATGCTGAGTTAAAAAAAAAAAAAGTTATTGTGCCACCTTGCAACTACGAGATTTCGACGATGCCTTATTTTCCTAATACAATTTTTCATCCCGTCCGATTTGTTCTGACTTTATTCAGGTTGATACCCAGACATTAAGGTGATGCCTCAACTCATTAGCTTTGTTGTTCACGCCATCGTCACGTCTCGTTTGGCTCTGCCTCACCATGCGTCATTACTACTTTGCGCACAGTGGTGCGGTGTCAAAGAAGTCCTTCATGTAGAATCCAAAATAGCAACACTGTCAGTCCCGACTGTGAGGTGACTCAAAAGAAGAGGCTGTCAGATGTCTCTCAGCAGCAGGCTCGCTCTGCTGCTCTGATTGGAAATGCAGCCTTAATGCGAACGTGACGAATCCGAATGGAGCGTGACTGTAGGATATCTGCAACTCAGTTTGATACTTTGAACAATTTCTGCTTATTTGGTTGGTTTTTGCTCTCTTGAACAAAAAAAATAAGTCATTAAAAAATGCAATGATGCAAAACAGAGACGTGTAACTAACCGCTGAGTGAGATTGTGACACGCCCCTGCGGCTCTTATGGAAATGTGTCAGTCGGTGTCTCAGCACCGGGCGCTTGCAACACTTTCTCGGTTTTTAGTGTCTCTTGAACTTTTTAATTTTTCTTTTTCTTAATCTCTGTGTCTAATGTGTTATACCTGCAAAGGTGTGACTCACTGCTTTGTGAAAAAGTTAAAAACCGGGATTTCCACTACAGATAATAACGCAGGTATAATGGGCGAACCTAACGGAATTATTTTGAGACCCTGAGAAGAAGTGAACAATTTTAGGTAGCCATTTATAGTTTGCGATTTGGAGTTCAAAGCCCTTTCCCCCTTCCATTTTTCTGTATGCGGCCTCCAAAGGAAAAACCTTGGACACCCCTGCTGTAAGTGAATGAATTTTGGATCCCGGGGGAAGCCAAAAAGGTTTTTAGAAGTATTTAGTTCTTGGCATGAACAGGCATTGGGAAAACATCTTAGGTTTGTTCAACAGTTTGGACTGGGATGACCTGTAAATTGTGTCGAACGACATGACGCTACGGGTTTTGAATCCATAATTTAGTTAAATTAGATGAAGAACAGTTTATTTGTCCGGGTTTGTTGTCAAGAAATAGACACAGTCTATAACTAACACTAGTTAACCACAGCCCAGAATTTAGTTGGAGAGTGGCCTGTAATGATTTGGTTTATAAGCTCGACGAGGCAGGGCATTGATGGTGGCGTGGTGAATGTCACATGTTACCATCCTCCGCGAAACCAAGAGCCAGACCATCAACGCAAGCAGAAGATTAATGCTTACCAACATGCCGCGGTGCTGTCGTCTTGAAATCTCGTATTTATTTTGATCATCTAATTGGCGAGAACAAATCAAATGTTTGTGTTAATGACGCAAGCATCAGATGAGATTTCAGCGGAAAGATTTTGGATCAATAGAGCCTCCTTGAAAATTGAATTCTAGCCTCATTGGCGCAGCCTCCAGTCGTGATGAGCCAGACGAAGCCCGGATATGATTTTTGTCTCGTAATAATAATCAAATGTATTCAATTTGTTTTGAACGGGATCTTAGAGAGGCAGCCGTCAGACCGGATGACAGTCACTGCAGGCAGAGAGCGTCTGTCGCACAACTCTGCATGGTCCTTGCCTCTCCCGTGGCTGTCCTGATAGTGAAATTCGATTACAATTCCCCTCTAGCCTGCGATCCTCTCTCACTTATCTCTCGTTTACAGATGCTCTCTGTCCAGACAGAGACGTCCTTAACAGCGTTCCTCTCCTTTACGCAGCAAGAGCTGTGTGTGATATGAGTACTAAATAATATTGTATCGAGTTAAAACACACCCGAATAATCTTCAGACATTTTTATAGGTAGGACTATAATATTATTGCAGTCTGGTTTCATTCCTACTCCGATTAGGTTTAGTGCCCAGCAACGTGGAAGAGTGAGTGAGTGACAACAACCTAGTTTCAAGACACTTTTCAAACTTTTACCAGTGCAGGTTGTGGCAGTCAGCAGAGAGACGCGGAATAAACTGTTTTGAGCAAGAGCATGGACAGATTTATACACAAAAAGAGTTTAGGATTTATTTTATATCTCTAGTTCGTAACAGTCAATTATTTGATTGTATCGACCTTGTTGTGACGCGGGCAGCCATCAAAATCGCCAAACAAATTTCTGGGCGTCTACCTACAGGATTGATTGAAGAAGGATTCTGGTTCGTCGTGGTACGATTTAGGCCGTGAATCTGTCCGTTGACAACCAACAACACTCGTGCGTGTTGTTGCAGGAGTTTTTTGAGAATCCGGCATTCAGGCCCGATGGTTTAAAGCTGTACCCGACTTTGGTGATTCGGGGTACGGGCCTGTATGAGCTGTGGAAGACGGGCCGCTATAAGAGCTACACGCCCAGCACTCTGGTCGATCTGGTGGCGCGAATCCTGGCGCTGGTGCCGCCCTGGACAAGAGTTTATCGTGTGCAGAGGTAAGTTTGTGATGTTGATGGGAATTAATTAAAAAAAAAAAAAAAACGGAACTCAATCACTGGTTTGATCAGAAGATGGAGCAACATATCTAGTTGAACATCGGCATTTGTTCAGTTTAGTTATATTATTTAGCTTGATATTATACCCTACGATACCCAACAACAGTTATTGCATTTCTTCTATAGAGTCTGGTCAGGGCCTTGCTTTCCTGAAATCATTTGCTCTGTCTCCACCCATTAGGGACATCCCAATGCCATTGGTGAGCTCCGGAGTGGAGCACGGAAACCTGCGAGAGTTGGCAATAGCCAGGATGAAGGATATGGGCACTGAGGTGAGACGCCCCTATTAAACGAAAAGACGAAAAAGGAGTGCAAACACTCACCGGGATCACCAAAGACCTCAGAGCATAGATCAAATTGATGCTAACTGCGGAATTTGCCTGAGCTCCTGTGGTAGGAGAAGAGGACAGATTTATAAACCCGCCGAGAATAGATCAGAATCAATGGAGCAAAGAATGGAAGTGAAGTACCTTCCCCGAGTTCATTCCAATTGATAACACCTGCATCATCAGACTCCCCTTAGGACCTGCTGGCAAACTCCAACATTCATCGGCCAACTTTACCTTTAATTCCCTTCCACACGACAGAGCATGCCGGCGTGCATCCATGAAAATGACTACTTTCCTTTTGAGTGAGTCTCACTGGAATGCAGTAACCAAGAATGCGTGTGCATCATTAGTTATTACCGCTACCAAAGGAAAGCTATACAGTGCATCTCAAGAGACAACATATCCTTTTTTTCAAAAGGGTGTGTTGTTATTAAAGTGAGACGACAATGTCCAGTACGCAGGTTGCATAAGTGCACACAACCCCAAATGCTCATACTCAAGCCAATTAACGGTAAGTGTTTTTTTCCTTCCTCCTGTGCAGTGTCGAGATGTTCGAACCAGAGAAGTTGGCATTCAGGAGATTCACCACAAAGTTCGACCGTACCAGGTAGGCGAAAGCATCCTGGAGATGGTCCAAGAAAGATTGCGACAGCGCTAGCTGCTGTGTTCAGGTGGAGCTCGTGCGGAGGGACTATGTGGCCAACGGTAGCTGGGAGACCTTCCTCTCCTATGAGGATCCCGAGCAGGACATTCTGATAGGACTGCTGCGTCTGCGCCGCTGCTCCCCGCAGTCGTTCCGAGCGGAACTGAAAGGGGGCGTGTCCATCGTCCGCGAACTGCACGTGTACGGCAGCGTGGTCCCCATAAGTAGCCGGGACCCCAGCAAGTTCCAACATCAGGTGCGCAAGTCAAAAACTGATGGCACACTCTTGTGGTTTAGGTGGAGTTGAACTGAAATTGTTTACCTTGGTTCATTAGGGATTCGGGATGATGTTGATGGAAGAAGCGGAGAGAATTGCGACGGATGAACACGGCTCCTACAAATTAGCGGTCATCTCAGGTTCGATTTAGAAGTATCGAATGACTTCTTTAATATCCCGTCACTTGATATTTCAGGGAAGCCCCGCATTTTTGCGGCTCTGCATTCGCCTCGGTTATTTGCCGAAAACCTCACCTATAGGGCGCTGGCCAAAGCTATAGCTGCATTGTATTGAATTGCCAAAAGAGACAATTGTATTTGCTTAATCGTTTGCTGCAATCTTGTAGCATTTATCGAAATCCTTTTAGTTGGCATAAGTTACTCGCAGAGTTTCACTAGTCGCAGCGCATGCCTTTTCAACGGAGTTGTTTTTCTTTTCCTTTCCAGGTGTAGGAACAAGGAACTACTACAGGAAGATGGGCTATGAGTTGGAAGGACCTTATATGGTTAAGCTTCTCTCCGAACCCAGATTGAACTGAACTTGGACGTTGTTTTTAATCGGCATATGACAGCCCATCAAATCATGTTTGTGCCATCGATGATCATTTTCCCCACTTTTTAATTGTATTTCATCAATGTGTGTCCAGGTGATGCCAGGACTAAGTTGGTTATCTTAAATGACATTCTAGTTGCATTAACACGCACGGCTCAAGTAGAGCTAAGATCGGTCCTAAAAATCGAGCCCGACCCAAACCGGCCCGAGGATATTTAAGCCCAACCCGGCCCGAGCCCGATCACTTAACTTGATTTGCAGGCCCGAGCCCGAAGCAAACTCGACATTTCATATTTTATTTGTGAGGACTCGGGAGGAGGAGGGGTGATTTCTGTTAACGAAGCCTGTCTTTTGGAATGAAATCTAAGTTTTAAACAAGACTGTATAAACATTTACATCTTTTATATTTCTATTTATGAAGAGGTTACATTAACTGACCATTTTCCATCATTGACGGATTTTTTTAAGAGTGGACGGGCAAAATTTAAGGCCGTCCGTCATTTTGACGGCTTGAAAATTGGGCCGTAAACCACCGCAGCAGTACGTCCTTAAGAATCTAGCGCGGCAAGTTAAGAGAGAGTAGCAGAGAGACAAAGACGAACAATGACGGGTGGATACTCGACTGAGACTGGAAGGAGTTCTTTGAATTGTCATTGCAAGAGTTGAGTACAGTACGTGTTGTGATGAGGCGACTTCTGTTTTTTTTTTTTTTTGCGAACCACGGTCTCTCGTGGCCAAAACTATTCACGGCCTCGAAAAAAAAAAAAAAAAAGTTAGCGAGAGACAAGCCCGACCCGAAGCAATAAGGCCCGAGCCGACCCGTATTCGGGTCGGCTCGGGCTCGGGCGGCCCGATCTTACCTCTAGGCTCAAGTGACATTCTTCCTTATCGGATACCTGCCTCAACTATGTTTCAGTCAATAAGGCAGGCACGTAATTAGAATTCATTTGACCAGTACGGGCAGCTAGGTTAAACATCACACTGTAGAGAGCCCATTATGAGCCAAGTGGCTATTAACATTAGACGCAAAGAAGGTCCTGACCTGCTCGCTGTTGTGTAATTATGCCATTTTGATTTATATGCGACTATTTAGGCCACATAAATTGATTCCTGTCGTCTCTTTAATCTAATTTCATGGATCTATCCAAATGGTTTTGCAAAACGGAAATGTAAACCTTGTTTTTTTTTTTTTGTTTTGTTTTTGAAAAATAAAGTGCAAAATATCACCGACATCATGAATTGAGAGTTTGCAGACGTTATTAGATGTGAATGTCAAAACACCCACACTGGCCCCTAAAAAGGTCATTCACCTCCGAGGTGATTTCCTCCCCCAATGACGACAAGGATGCCAACCCCTTCAGGACATTGTCAATGATTGCGCCATAAGAGTGTTTTAGTGTCTCATTTGACACAGCCTCCGCAATTACAACTCCATCCGTTTTGTGTGTGTCGAAAATTGACCGAATGCTGTGTGGAGCCACATTTCTTGGAAGGCCTTTGTCATATGAGCAATAAAGCACTAATTCCTCACGCGTCGACCTACAGTGTGTCTCATATAGGACCCGATTGAAGGGGGGGCGGGGGGGTGATTGGAACAGCCGTGCGTAATTTCCTGCATGCGGCGCTCGCGTCGTGACTGGCGTTGCAGTCCTGACGCATTGAGCTTTGGGCCACATTCACACTTTCTCTCTGCCCTCGCTCAGTGCTTATCAACTGTGAAATGGCAAAGGACTTTCCCTCCCACCCGTCTCAGTCTTGCTGAGTGTTTTTTTTTTTTTCTTGTACAGGAGCCACTTTGGTTTAATCTTCTCTGCAACACTCACAGACAGAGAGCAGGTACTGCCAACTCCAGTGCTACCCAGCCTTATTTATCTGGCGTAACCTTGAACCTTTTTTGTCATTCCATCTCACTTCTATGCGCTGAGGGTTCTCCATAAGTAGGGAGTTAGTTGTAATGATCTCCTTAATCTTCTTTTTTACTTAAAAATAAGCGTTGCCTTGAAAGTAAATATAATGAAATACAAAATAAAAATAATCATAAATCTGCCTTTGTTATATGGAGCTCTTACGATATTTATGCCCCCCCAAAAAAATCGATTGATTAAGGCCCCTTGAAAGCTTAAGTCTAGTCAAACAAAGTTCCTTGCTGCGATATGGTCCAGGTGCCCCCACGAGTTTCAACACAGTATTCTGATTCGTATTGTGTTTGTGAAAGAAGAATTAAGCCAAGGGTATCCAAACTTTTTCGTTTGAGGGCCGCATACAGAAAAATGAAAGGGCCACTTTAAAATTTGTCAACTTTTGGAAACACGCTAAAGCCAGTCAAAAAAGAAATTCTATTTTGTTTGTATTGTTCATCAGCTTTCTGTTAAAGGTGTTCAGGCAAATGGGGGGGGGGGGGGGGC